TTCTTTAATCAATTTTTTTGGAATATTGGTAATAATGAGGAATTTTGTTATCATTGATTCCACTTATTGTACTGCCATATAATATTATCGTTTTTGTATTGGATCTACTTTGTGTTCCTGAAATCTTATTTTTTGGAATGGTAAAATGTAAAAGTTCCATCACCAAAAAAAAATATACTTTTTGTATACTTTACATGTTATAAAGATTTGAGACCTTCTAAAGCTAAGAATTTTAAAAGTTGGCCTAAAATATCATCAATTTCCATGTCTGCTGTTTATTGGATTTCAATTTCTCCAGTTCAATTTTATTTCTCCTGTGTGTGCTTTAAGTTTCTTTATAAGGCAGTCAACTTGACAATGTCTGCACTGTGTTGGCAAGAATCCAATTTAAAAGAGATTTGCAGGAACTTGTTGGAAGCATATAAAGGACTGTTAAGGTTAATTGCTTTAGTTTTTTCCAGGAATTCTAAAGTGGTCTCAATTTGCTCTCTATTGTTTGGAATGGTCTTTTGTATGCTGATGAGAAATTAAGAAAGCAATTCATAACAATGACATAAAAAGCAGGAATCTCTATATTCAATGGCACCTTAGTTTTACCTCAGAATTCTCAGTGAATTGATCCCCTCCCACTTTGATCAATGACAATTCATGACAGAAGCAAGTTGAACTTGATTTGTAATTCTCTTTGTGTGGAATAAAAAAAAGTTGAACTTGATTAACAAAATATCTTTTATGGCAAAGAATCATCTGATTTCAGATATAAAAGACTCCAGGGTAAGATCACAGAGGTCACATATTCTGGGTTTGGCCGAGTTGTATGAGGTATTAAACCTAAATGAACCATGATGTAGTCTATAATCTGTGAGGTCATAACATCAGTTTATGATTTACTATCTGGTGAATGTGCACCCAAATTACTTTTGGCAACCGATCTGTTTCTCCAATCTGGTAGTTAGTCAGTACCTGGTTACTTTATTACTAATAATATTGCAATCAGGACTTCCAATATCATGTAAGGATAAAGCCATTTTAAGGCATTTTTGTTAACCACTTAGTTTCAATATAGAAATCTTAAATCATAAAATAAATTTCTTTTCTTTGTTGGATTGTGTTTCTTGGCATCAAAATGATACAATAATGGTAATTGAAATATATGATGCAAATCAACTTCCATCACTATGTGTCCTAAGAATAAAAGTTCATTTGCTGCTACCGATGTACTACTAAACTGTCATTATGGATTTTGAGTTCAGTTTTACTGTTTGGATCGTTTGTACTTGTTTGTTTTTATATCTAAGATATACATTCTTAAACTGACCTAAGGGTAGTTACTTAAAAAAGGGATACTAAAAGAACTAAATTATAATGGCTTCCACAGGATATTATTTAATTTTTATTAGCGTTAAATAGTATTCTTCTTTTGATAACTATAAGTAGTAGTCTTCACTAAGGGAAAGCATCCCTTCAATTCCTCTCCTTTGTTGTTTGTTTTGGATTCAGCTGAGCTAGAACAAGTCATGGTGCTCTAATTCCTATTATTGGTGTAATGATTACATGTGAGCAGACGTGAAAAAACATCCATCAAGGCCCATAACTCTCACCCTTGTTTTCTTATACATAGTTGTTGATGAGGCATGAATATTGGCAGACGTCTCCTTGAGTTTTGTTGACGAAGCATGAACTCTGGTGAATGATAGATGATTTTCTCAGATGCTTGGTAACAGGCTCTTCTTTGAGGAAAACTATATAAATTATGGCTGATAAAAGCCAAAGATAGGTGAATTTTTTACTGTTATTTTCACGTGCCATATCACAGAGAATTTTGGTACATGACTTTTCGCAACTTGATTTCAAAGATAAGACATGCTTTTAATGAAAATATGCATTTCTTATTCCTAACTTCCTTAGGTTTGAAAACATGATCTTTGACCATTTCTGCCTTGCTAGAAGCTTTCTAAGATTCAAGTTTTCTGATAATCTTGTAAGGTCAGTGCTATATAATCTGTTTGAATTTACTCTTATGAATTTGATCTCAAGCAGTTCAAGCAGGAACTACATATGTATTGTGATCTGACTGACTGTCTAAATGCAATTATCTGCCTTCAAAGTTCATACAATTACTTTATCTAGTATGTCATTTGCTTTTAAAACATCAGAAATTGTTTGATACACACCAGGGTGTTTTCCAACTGTGGCCAAAGATTGCAAACATATCATACATTCGATTAAAACAGCTCTTGGAACCAAAAAAATCTTACGCAAAAGTATAGTATTTCTCACTTTCCCATTTACGCTGAATTTTTTTATCTGTAGAGTTTATTAGGAGCGGTGCAGATTTCTTATTGTGATAAGGATGTTCTGTATCAGTTGAATTGAATTTTGCAGGAAAGAAGATATTATTTTCATTAGAATAGTTTATACAGGAAATGAGATGTGATGCCAGATTGTGTTAAACATTTATAAACTTTAATCTAGGATTTTTGCTCATTTCTTGATATTTCAATAAAATTTTGTTCAAATGGTTTTTAAATGAAACGAAATGAACATTGAAGTTTGACATCCTATTTTTCTGCACCATGTAGGCTAATGAAGATGGGCCTCTGTTTATTGTCCCATCCGAACAGTTTATTCCATGTCAGGCCCTTTACCTGCATCACTGATAAAAATAGGGTATTATCTCGACCTATGCCAGGATTGAACCCTGGAACTTAATGTTAGCGAGTAAGCTTTTAACTAACTGAGCCACCACAGCTCCCAGAAATGGTTTTTAAAAATTGCATTTATTACTTCAGTTTGGATAATAGACCTAACCTGATTTGGGATTTACTTTTGTAACAAAAATTTTTATTTAGAAATATTTAAATGTAGCTTAAAATTATTATTATTATTCAGACAGAAGAATTATTGATACAGTAATTAATATGTTTGGGTGCTCTTTTTCAAAATTTAATTGTTCACCAAACAAATTCTCATATATAAATTTCAAGGATATTTTAAATTTGATATATAAGTATATAACATACTGAAATAGCCTGGGAATTTTCATTGATTCACTAAGATTACATGAAGATACACCATCTATTTCCTTCCTTCTTCTCAATGAAATATTATCATTGATATACAATTAACAATCCTCTATAATTATTTAATATACTCAGTTTGAAATGGGAACTTCCCAAGTTTGAATGAACATCTTTCAACCTGTTTCTTAATTGGTATGTTATAATGTTTTGATATGTTTTGATATACTTAAAGCATTAATGTGAGTCATACAGCTTTAGTTTGGATTTTTTGATTCGAATTCTAGATCCAGTCTAATTAATATTTTAAGCAATCTTTCGTTCTGTTTTTTTATTAGTTTTTTTTAATACCTAAGCCACTTTAGTGGGGGTCTAACAACAGCCCTCTAGAACGTTCATCAAATTAGCCTTTTGACCTAACTCTGACATCTACCTTAAGCAATCAAATTTCTACCCATTCAGCACTGGCATTTTGTGATGAGGTGTTTATCAGGTTAGGTCAATTTGAGAACTTCAAGAGGACTGTCATTAGACCCTAACTGAATTGGCTACGTTAGAAATAAAAACTAATAAAAAAACAGAATGAAAGTTCCAAGTTTTCTAAGAGTGCTAGATTAAGACCTTATTCAAGAAATAATTTAGAATTTGTGACCTATTGATGATGTTTTTAATTGTTTTTCAATCAATCAGGAATTGATTTGATGAAGCCATTTTCAATTCTTGTGAATAGTTGTGAAATGGTGATAATATCAAACAAATGGTGGTAGTGGGTTCTAGTCTCAGAAAGCATATGACAGTCCGGTGATCTGGAGAGTCGCAGTACATGGGTAAATTTGTTTCATATGACATTTTTTGTGCTCCAAAGTTGTGTTTGAAAAATCTTTCACAAATAATTTGTCATCTGCTTCCACATTTTATGAAAATCATTTGTTTTATTTTTGTGAAAGTTTTGTTCTCAAGTTATCAAGCAGTCTACAATTACTAAATAATTCCGTTTTTTTTTTTTCTCTAAATTTCGAATGTTTTTCAATTGATTTACTTGGTTGCATTTAATGGAATTTTCAAATTCTTAGTATAATATAATCCCATGAAAACTTGTAATTTGAATTCAAGAACAATATTTAACAGTTATATTTCAAATAGTTTTTTATCTTTTTGGAACATAATTTTAGTTTTCATTTGCAGAACATTGTTGTTGAGCTTGAATGATGTTCAGGAAATGATTGTGGTCTGGAAAGTATTGATGAGATTCGTAAGGATTTGGAGTTGAAAGCTTCTTAACTGTTTTGACAATTTTATCAGTCAGGCTTTGTTGATGATATTACATTTACTGCACTAATCCACAATAATTCAAACCTGTGAAAGGCTGATTTGTTAATTTTGATATGTGTTTCGTGGTTTTTGGTTGGAAAAAATGAATGAAATGTTGATGTGGTGTTTCTTATAAAGCTATCAGATTAAAGTTTCTGTGTGTTTAATAAAGAAAGAATAAAAGAAGATTTAGTTGCATGATAAGACTAAATAAACTTTAAATTGCTTTCTTGAGAAAACAAAATGATCTCAGAGGTATTCTAAAAAATTCAATTTATATTTCATTTCAATTCCTATGATTTTTTTTTCGTTTTCGATTTGTCATGAATTCTTGAAGTTTGATTGAGGTTAAGTCAAGTAGGTAGGTTCTAGTTTATAAAACATTTCTTAAGATTTAGTCTTTTTCTTCCAGTGTGCCTCTGAAGCGAATGTTTTTCTAATTCTTCAAAGCGTTTGAACTTTTGAAAAAAACAAATACCTGGAAAGCTTTCAGACATTTGGAATAAACTCTGATTACTCTATCAATCTTTTCATCAAAGTAAAAGTACATGAATTTTCGGATTAGGCGGAAAAGTTGTGCGAATAGACAAAATGGTGGATAAGTGAAAACATTTTGACTGCTGGATATACTTCTCATTTTTTATGGATGTTCCACCCAGGATTGTTAAAATGTCGCGGCCAATACAAATGACATATATGACATATTCAGCACAAAGTTTTAACTACAATTATCAGTGTTATACCAACCATTATCCTAATCATTATCCTGCATCTGTTGAATATCCATTGGATAACTATGTCTATAGGTAAGTTTTTCCAGTCTTTTAAATTCATTTTGAGATAATATATTTAAGGGTGGACACTGAAGTTGCATTTTATGAGAATTAGAAATGATAACCTTTTGGTTCCTACATACATGAGGTTTTAATTAGCTTCAAGGTGTACAACTTTGTTTCTAAATCTGGCATTTCAAACCTGTAAATATGGCAGATGATTTTAAATATTGAAAATAAAAATCTATGGGTACTATAAATTTTTTTTTTCAAAATGTGCAAAATATTTTATTCAAGGCTCTGCAATGTATATTTCTTATGGATCACATGGAGATCTTTCAACTTCAAGACATAAATGAGACATTTTATCGTAACGACAGGATCAGTGGCAGCCCAGTCTTCCGAGACTGGGGGTACATGTAGGGGGCAGACTGACTCAATGGGGAGACAAATGCTGAGGCAGAATTCAGATTTGGCTACTCTGTGGTGGTGTCATAGTCGCAAGCCTCTCAAGGATGGTTTAAGTGGGTTCTCTCAAGAAAATTTAAAAAAAATGAATTGATTTTGTGCATTCAGACACATATTTTGGAGAAAAAAGGTAGAAATTTAGATTTGTTGAAAATAAAGTGTGGGTACAATTGGGGATGAAAACCACTTTTCTGGCGCCGGCACCACCACTGAACAAGATTAATGCTTTTAAGCATGAGATCTTTGATTCCAAACATTAAGGGCATGTTTGACACTGTCAAATTCATAAAATCTCCCTGGTTTGAAGCCAGTTTGGATGTGACCATTCCACATACATTTGCAAAAAGTTTTCAAAACCCAAATGAATTACTTAATACAAGTGAACTTTGAGGAACTTTGTAGCTATGAAGATGCCTGGCCAGTGTAGAAGTACAGTACTTTGTTTCAGAAACAATTTCTACTGCTAGAGAGTGTAACAAGTGCACTCCTCCCAGAGATCTGTAACCAATAATGGTTATTATAAAAAAGGTTAATGGAAAATCATTTCAAGATGACAAGACTAGAATTACTGCCATTGTTATTTTACATCTTCATCTCACTTGACTTAACATTCTTCTATGAACTTTCTGCTATTTATTTAATATTTTATACCTTTCCCCTTATTTATTATATATGTTATTATACATACTTATATATTCCATGTGCCACTCAGTCGGCCATATTGGATATCGGAAACGATCTCACTTGAATATAGTGTGGCAATTGTAAATGCATTGATGAAGTTCAAGGCCCTTAAGGCCTCAACAAAGAGAAAAGCAATATGCCTGTCCAACTGCATTTGTAAATCAAATGAAATCCTTTGTCAAATGACTGATTAGTATTATGGTCAAGAAAAGATTTGATATTCAAAGTATCAATTTGATTGAAGTCTTTCAGAGCAATTTGTTGTAACATATTAAAAAAAAACTGGTCTCATAATTCACTGCTGCCAGATCTTTATGAATTTACTGGTTTCTTAATTTAGGATATTTTATCATATTTATAATATGAGAACGATTATTTCGGTGAAATTGACATTTTATACAGTTATTTATAGAGATTGTTTAGGTTTGGAATATAGATAAGGTTGACCACCCATTCTGTTCTGCAGAAAATCAGAACGACTGCTTTAAGTCTCTATGTGAAAATTTTTCAGGAGAAGGAAAATTCTTTTGTAACACTGAACAAAGCAGATTTTTTAATGCAATATTTTGTTTCAATGGAATCAATATGTTTCCTAGCAGTTGATTGATACTTAAACTTAAAAGCGTCCAGTAAAAAAAATGGAAATCACCATAGAAAATTGGAGCTTTGCATGCCAAAGGGATGTAATCCTATAGGATATTTTTCAACAGCAGATAACAATAATGGTCTAGTAAATCAATTCTAGTAGTTTAAGATCCCTAGTACATAATTGTTTATTCTGTAGAAAACTTTTTCTATTGTTGATCTTCAAACATAAGATACATTTGAAATTAAAGACATTGTAAAGGGGTTTCCTAAAAATTGTATGTGTATCAGGGACACTTTTAGCTTCAAATTGCACCATTCCAATTTTCAAACAGATGTTTGTGGTTCTTGCAATTCCACAAAAAAGAAGTGTTTTATGATGTAACTAATTAGTGATATCATCAAACACTTAGTTTTGTTAATGGAATTGCAGGAACTACAGACCTCTGAAGATAAATTGAAATGGTGTAGTCAGTGTCTCTGATACACATAAAAATTTTAGAAAACCTCTTTACAATCTCTTTATTCTCTATCAACTGTTTATGGAAATAACTAGAAGATTGTATGACTTTAAGCTACATGATAGAGACTTAAATCTCCTAATCTGAAAAAAAAATCTTCTGTGAAGAAGAAACATCATCTACCATTTTAGAGTGGGCTCTTGAAAATTTCTTATCTCAAACCATTGATGTGAGTGCATTAATGATCTCTTCTCAAAGGCGTCTGCTGCATTCAATAAATGGAGCCATTATGAAATTCAGTAGCATTCTGTTGCCATGCATTTACAGTTGCAGCATTTGTTCTGTAACTTGTTCAATTTCAGAGATAAGAGGCATCAATGTTCTCCATTATCTATTGAAACTTGACTTTGAAAACCTTGAAATAGAAAGTTTATTTTTCCTTATCATTTTCTAGAATAAAATGAGAGATTGTTTTGAAATCAACATTTAGAATTAAAGAGACAGCTTCATTGAATACATTTTTTTCTCTTCTGGCCATTTTGCCAAGTGAGCTCATGTTCTCATTTTGTACAAAATAAATTTGATGTTAAATATATTCAAGAAAAATGGCAATGTTTCGTATCATGTAATTGTCTTATGGACGACTTCAAATGTAATCCTTGATCTGAAAGAAATTTTTATAAACAACAAGTTTAGGTAGTTAAACCTAAGGAACAGAATTCAAAGAAGAATTTTGTCAGATCGTGGATGGTGAGTGAAGTAATCTACTGAGGTTACATAGTGAAAATTTTCAATTGATTGGTACACATAGAGCTATGCATAGTGTATATTTTCTGTCCATTCCAATTATTGATAATTTCAAACAAGATCACAAATTGTTTTATCGGAGCCTTTTGAATACCAGTTATCCCTTTAATAGGTAAGTTGGAATAAAGATGGAATTGATAAGGCAGACATTAGGCCAAGATGAACACATAAATCAAGTTTGGAAAAAGATTTTGATAAAATTTGGTTATTTCAGCTGTAATAATATTTTTTTTTATTTAGATTTCTTATAATCAAACCATTGTCACACATGTGACATTTCCATGGCAACGCCTTTTAATTTCCTTGTAATGGCCATTTGTGGTTGATTTATGGGCTAAAAATATGCAATAAAGGAAATTTGTTGCATTTTTTCAATAAGTGTCTTCAAGATTTCTCTAAAGAATAGAATTCATTCATTCATTTATTCAGGCATGCATTGTGGGAATAAAAAATTTGCTGAAATTTTGTTTAACTTATTAGATCACCTGATCGCATAAATTATGATGAGACATTGACTTATGCAATACATGTAAAGGTTTTTTTTAATGGTTCATCCATTCATTCATTCATTCATTCATTCATTCATTCATTCATTCATTCATTCATTCATTCATTCAGTTTGGTACCAATATGTTTATCTCTTAGCTGCTATTAATAGCAGAGATAACAGACTAGGTATTAGAAACTTGACCAGTGGTCAGTAATAGATTGACCACAGGCTGTCTAAAGATAATTAATATACTATCATAGATCATATTTCAACTTTTAGAAAGTAGGTAAAGAGGTAAAATGATTCTTTCATTAGTTTCATCTGTCTATCTTCCATCCTCAGTAAAATCATTAAAAAGAGTCAAATACTTATGACTGTCAATGGTACTGCCTTTCCGAAATATTCTTCTTATAAAAATCCTTCATGCACAGTCTTTGTTGCTGATTTTGAAGATGACGCAGATCTTTAGTAAAATCTGTGTTCCCACTCTTCTGCAACTAGATTATCGAGTTGTCAGTTTGATATTAGTCGCTGATTGTTCTTTCATCTGTAAGACAGAGAGTCATATTCAATCAGTTTTTTTTTCTGATGCATGATCCGCACATGATTATCGCCATGACCCACTTGAGACACATGCCTGCAGCCGGATAGTGAAACTCTTGACAAGACTCTAGTCCGCGACAAAAATCACAGACCATGACCGTTTGTGTGCCCGCAGCATTATTAAACGAAGATGGACAATGCAGCAAATTTTTAATCGAATACATTGAGCCATGTCAGCAACTGGGATAAGCCCAATCTTTTCTGGCTTTCTGGATTATGTTTGCTTGCAAGCTGTAGCACTTTTATCTGGTATGAACACCCATACTAGTTTTTAACCCATTCTGGAATAGAACACTAAAATTGATAGTTAGTGAGCAAGTGCTGCACTACAGTTACTACAGTTATTTTCTGTATTAATATCAACCTAAATCCAGAAGTCTGAGACCATAGACTATTAGAGACTTCATTCAATCTCTGTGAAGAGTTCCTACTTGACTTATCAATCTCCTGGTTTTATACTGAAGATCAGTTAGGTTTATTTAATAATCTAGCAGTATTTTCAAGTGTTGAATTTTCTGATCGTGCTAGTACATCAACTTTTTAAATGGTTATAAATGATGAACGGTACTTGTAACCTTTGGGAATTTCATTAGATCAATATATACTGGTGAGAAAGTTAATGCCTTGGTATCATCATACTCAATATCAGTAAGAAAGTTTTAAAGCCACTTTGTGCAAACATTTTGATAGTTCGGTTGCTGAAAACAACTCCAACATATCTGCTACATTAATCGTTAAACATTGAAGAAAATACTCATCTATCACTTAAATGTCAATATAGAGAATTTAATAAAGCCTGCTTCATCAAAATCTGGCTTCCCAAAAAATTATGAAAGCGTTTATATTAAAATGTCATTCTATTTATGTAAATTGCTACATCATTGTAAGAAACAAGCAAAAGACTTTTCTGTTTTTGAGAAGGGAACTCTTGATTT